ACGGAGCACGCACGCAACACACACACACATGGCACCGAGGACTCTGAAGCACTCGGCAGGATTCGAGAGTCCTTGGTCTTCGCCCGCAGCATCTCTTTGGCCTCCTTCACCTTGTCCACCATGTCCTCTCGACATCTCAGTGCCATGCCCGTGGATCCAGTTGGGCTATTTGCCTTAAGTACGACGCCCAACGCCCCCAAAAAAAGTAAGACCTTAAGCACGGCCCAAGAAACGCCTGAAAAGGCCCCAAGTTGGTCCGCTTTTCTTGTCACCGCCATGCACCGCCGCTTGCGGCTCGCGGCTCACGGCTCGCTCCTTGCGGAGGTTGTCCATGTCCATCGCCTTCTTGCGATCGAAGTCGCTCATCTTCTGTTGGAACTCCTGGCATTCGCAGCGAATGAACGTTTGGAACTTGGCGCCCCAACTTGTGGCATCTCGAAACTTCCCCGAATCCCCGAACATTCTCATGGGTGAGCACGTTTTAAAGGTGAGCCTGCTAGCCGGAGCATCTTTATGGAAACCGTGCTACTCCACGATCGAACATATGAATACTGGGCTTCTGCCCCACCCCCCTCCAGGTTTATCTTGTTTAGAGGTCCAACCCATGGACAATAGCTCCAGAAAGTCCACTGCCCTCAGAAAATTTCACCAAAAGGATTTTTGGCCCAACCAAATGGTACACAACATGCTCAGATCAGTTGATTCAGTGCAACCTAAAACAAGTAAGAAAAAACACGTCTTACTGGAAAAAAAAAAAACAGCACCTGGCTTAAGTAGTTGTAGTTTGGATCCACAGGATGGTCCACCTGTCTTTGTGGGAAGAAAAACCGAAACGCCAAGTGTATGGACCCATGGTGGCTCGTCTTTTGAGGCTCGGAATCCTTCTTTGGGGTTGGAAGGGAACGCCAAAGGAACTTAGGTGACCGTTGGGGAACGTATCGATGGGTTTCCCTGGTACAAGGATGGCATAAAACGCATCTAGACCAGCGGAACTCTATCTTTAAAAACAAAAGCGATCAACAGGACACTTATGCAAAGGAAACTCAGCCATTTTCTTGCTGGTTCTCAGCATGGAATGAGAAATATAATGACTCCCAGAAAAATACTAAAAACTAAAAACCACTATGGTTTCCTTTGAGGGGATCCCACAAACCGGCTCATTCCCAGCAGCCTGGGTCCAGTTTTGGGGTGTGACCCAAGCCCTTTTCGCTTCTCCGGCGTTTCGGAGCTCCGGGCCTCCTGCTTCTCCGCCAACTGCGTCTTCAGCGCTGACAGCTCCTGAGCCCGGCGAACGGGAGCATTCCGCGCGCCGAAAACCTCGACTGCTGGTTTTTGAGCGGCAACAAGAAGTTGGTCCAACACCTTCCACAGGCCAAAGTTTTTTTGTTTTTCTCCGAGGTTGTGGTTGGACCACGTGGAGGTTGTTGAAACTTGTGGTTTAATCGCGAACCTCATCTTCGAAACTGGGGAAGTGAGCCTGGCGTTTTAGGCAGGGGATATTGATGATGAAGCCAAGGGGTCAAGACCGAACAGAGGCGGAGCAACATGGGTGACTTTTTTGGGGGTACCCTTTTTGGTGGGTGTAGGAAACTACCATTTTGGGGGACCCCTTATATAAGAACACAGCCCCCACATACGGGCAACAACCAAAGGCCCAGAGGCCCACATTCTCAGGAATTCGGATGCGGGTTCTCCTTGGAGCGATTTTGTCTTTGAAAGGGTCATCTCAGAACCTCGAAACAGAACACTTGGGCATCCACAGGGATCGAGTGGGTTTTCCTGCTTGTTCTTATTGTAATGACCCCTGGCCAAGCAATCCCCACATTTCCTCATGTTGACCCCTGATTTATAACCTTCCGGTGCCTCATTCCTTTCTGGGGGGACTGTTCTGATGAATACCTTCCCTGGAGGGGGGTCAACATTAAGCTCAGATATCAAGAGCTGCAGCAAGCTCAGCTTCTCGTGCCGGAAGGCGCACGTGGCGAGTGAAGGACCCCCTGAAAGACCAAATTAAGACCCAACAACGGGGGTCCTACAAAAGCAGAGCGCTTGATGCGTGCATGTATATACTGGCATATGTAATGCACACACATGTATATACATATATACACTTGTATCAATAACTATGTCGGCTGAAGGGCTCCAACTCGCAAATTGTTATTTCACGCCCACAATCCAAGGGTTCATTTTCCCCCTTTGCTTCCCCCCATTCTCTTCTACCGTCCAGAGTATTTGCCAGAGAAATCACCGAAACCGAATGGACCTTGGCGAGTGCAACGGGCTGAAGCTGCGGGGCCATGGCATTGTGAGGTTTGAGGCGAACGCTCAAACGGGAGAAGGAAACCAATGGAACACCGCCCGCTTTGGGGGATCCCCCGTACCTTAGGGGGGAGGGGGGTGAGGGGTCCCAAGGGAAAATGACACCATAAATGGAATTCCAGGGGTCACTTGGAAAAAACACATGGCTCAGACCTGCAAAAAAATCCCCCAGGCTTTTATAGGATTTTGCAAATTCAAGGTCCACCTTTCGGGGCCACAACAGTGGCTGCCAAAACTGAAAAAGCCGCTTCAGGACATTTCAGCTCGATTTGCCTTGGAGTGAGAATCTACAGGCTCCGATCGATGGATATTGAAATTTTGGGGGCTCCAACGCACGAGTTTTGAGACCCCGCTCACCGGATTCAGCACCTCGAATTTTTGACCGCTTTGAACCGGGGCCGAGGTTCTGCATACCTTTCGGCCGAAATCGATCCGACCCTTAAGGTGCCCGAACCAATTTGCTGGCTCGAGAGGCAGGGAATGAGACATGGAACCCCCAGAAACCATCCCTTCTCGTTTCCTTCCAGGGAATCCTGAGGTTCCTTCACAACACCCAAAAGGTCATTCCCTATCGCACCAAAGCCCAGTCAGCTGGCCTTCTCCATGTTCTCCTTGTTTCGCTGAAACTCCCGGACCTCCGAGCGGGGCCGCGGGGCCGCGGGGCCGCTGGGGCCGCGGGGCGATCCAGTCAGTCGAAAAAACCGTTGACTGGCCTCCCAAGGAAAATGGGATGTGTTTCTCCCGGGGCGGCAGTGGTTTCCAAATCAACCCGTGAAAGGGAACCACCCTGTGAAGCTGTAAAGGCCTGGGATCCACTGGGCTGCAAAGTGGTCATCAGTCATTGCATACCGATTCTTCCCTTGGGCATAGCTCTTTGGCAGTTGGGGGTGGTACACTGGACCCACTCAAAGTGGGCTTCTACAAACATTTGACAACATGGCAACCTTTCCAGAAACTAGTCACAAGTCTGAGGTTGTACTTTAGGCTCGGTCTGGCACATGACACGCTTGACGCTCGACGCCCGGGTCGAAGGGACCATGCTTTTTTGCAAGATGGGTGGATGCAGGGTGGATGTAAGGCAAAACAAAAGGACACCAACCCAGATCCATGAACTAGGAGAGGTAACCAAGGGCCTGTAAAAATTCAACGGAGCATGGCCATAGGGCTGACTGGGATCTGGGAACCATTCTCTTGAAAAGATGCCCAGTTGCCCAGTTCTGGCCACTGAACACACCCCATTGAAAGACACTGGCCGCACCTTGATTCAAGCATGGCAAACTATTCACACACAGGTTTGAGTGGGAAAGCCGCCGATTTCCAGGTCAAAGGCTAGGTAAGATCAATTAGAGCCTCCCAACATCTGTTGAAGGTCCATGGGATCAAAGCAAGCAATGCCTCCTCGACTGTCCTGCCGGAGTTTCGCTGATGCAACAAGTTCATCTCTTGGTACCTGTCAACATTCCTCTGCCGTCCAAACTCACTTCCTGAGTGGACTGGCCCAAAAAAGTCGCCAAACTTTTCGCTCACCACTACAATGGCCACCAAACCCAACAAGTTGAAAGTCCATGGACTTAGCACTAAAATGGCCACCACACCCAAACAGTGGTACTACTCCCTTCCTGAGTGGACTGGCCAAAAAAGTCGCCACACTTTTCGTACCCCAAAAACTTGGCACTAAAGTCGGATGAACTTGGACCTACGACTAAAATGGCCACAAACCCAAACATTTGGTACTAAAGAACATATGGGCTGGCCAACCAACACTGAACTCATGATTACAAGTCGGAGGAACCCATGGCCGCGAAGTGCCAGGGCCTCGTGAAGCTTTCCTTCCAGCTCTTCCTTTTGGGTCTTCAGCTTGGCGATGTCGTTGTCCTTCCTGAGGCAAAAAAGGCTCCGTCTGGCTTGGAACGACGTGATTTTTTGGTAAGGAACGATGACATGCCCCCCCCCCAAACAAAAGCAGAAGACTGGGTCCCTGACTGGAAACGTAAAGGTAAGACATGGTGGAACAAAATTCCTTGTTTGCTGCGGGGCAAAGGAAAGGCGACACACACACGCACACAATTGGACGCCATTATCGGGCTTGTCCTTGACAAGGGTCCCATCGAAATGGTCTTGCAAGCTCTCTTTTAACCAGCGAGACATCTTGAACCCAGGAGTCCTTTGGAATACATCAAACTTGTCTGGGTTATGTGCTGAGGGTAGTCGAAGTTCAAGTAGAACCCGAGACGAAACCACAAAAACCGAAAGGAGCCCGGTTCGGCCTAGGAGCGGTTAGGGGCTTCAAAGTTCAAAATACGATATATACAAAACAACAACTAGTTGCGTTTTTCGTATAGCTTGCAACATACGTTTTCCTTTTCCAACAAGCACCACAACAAATAAGTGAGCCTCGCCACAGAGTCCAAGCGTCAAGGTTTTTCACAGTAAGTCTTGTTCCGGCCTTTGATCCTAATCCTCACTTGCGCTCGTCTTGACTTGCACCTTTGTCAATTGCTTAAGCCGCGAATTGCTCGCTTGGCTTGATCCGGACAACGCTAAGGGGTCGGTTCTCTTTCGGTGGGACACTGCGTTGTGGTAGGTAGCGGCCCTGTTAAACATCAAGAAGCTGCCACAAACAGGTCGATCCCATGCTCATTCGCTCCCTATCGCTCTCTCGCTCTCTCTCTCTCTCTCTCTCTCTCGCTTTCTCTATCTCTCAGTAGAAATGCCTTTGGGCTTCGGGAGGTGCAAGGTATCATCAACACCAGTTGTCAGTGTGGGAGACCTGCCGATCCAGCAAGCGCCGCGCCCCTAAGCCCCCGGCAATGCCATCGCGGCATCCAAATCATCTTTCGCCTGCTGCTTCTGGTCCTGCGCATTCACGATCCTAGTGACCTGTATAGGACTCAGAATGCACATGGGGAATCCTTCCGTTGGATTACAACCCATCTAAGAAAAGCCCAACCTGGACCCATGTCTTCATAGCACACCCCCTTTGGATTCAATCCTTCGGTTTGACACGCGCCCCTTCGGCTCATTTCAGGGGCCGCGTGACGTCACACATTTGCAGGGACTCTTGGATGGTTTTCCGCCCTGAAAAACGAAACACGACAACTCGCAGGCCAAACTTCGACCACCTTCAAAAGAAAAAAAAAAGTTGTGGCTATATAGTTGAAGTGGCAATTACTCATGACGGAAAACCAAAAGGGAAACACAGTTGACGAATGAAGCGAGCGGTGCTTTTTCGTGGATTCCCACAAGTGAGGCTTAGTCCAAAAACGTCACACAAAGGCTCGCACCGTCCGGCAATGCAAAGTACTTGCACTGCAATGGGCATCGACCTATGCTTCCCCAAGTCCCGGCTATGTCAAACCGATCCACTCGGTAGAATATCTTGGCCCACATGCAGGGTACAAAACAAACAAGTTCTTAAACAGTGTTTCCTATTTACACCGCGAAATTAGAGATCATTTTGGAAGCGACAAACAGTTGGGGTGCTGGTAAGTGAACTGGCGAAGGAGGTCTAGCTGGGGGCCTACCAATTGCTTAGCTATACGGACCCAAGTGGGCTCTCTTTTTTGAGGTATCCAGTTTTTGTGGTTTCAAAGGGAAAGCATCAGGGTAACCAACCACCATGTTTTGGAGTCCTCTAAACAAAAGTTCTGAGTCATAGCAGGAAAAGCCGATGCAGCCTAGTGTTTCTTGGTGTCATGGATCATTTTTCGAGTGCGCACCACTGTAGCAAGTTTGTTTTTATCGCTAGGCTTTACACGGGCAAACAACAAAAACAGAGTGGTTTCCTTGTGGTTTCCCATTAAACCCAAAAAAGGCGCACATGATGGTTTCCCCTAACCTGGCATGAAGACTGGACGCTCTGAGTTGGACAAGGGTCGATATGGGTCGATACTTGCACTGAGCTTCGGACGTCCATCAGCTGCTCAAGCCTTGGAAGGCCGACAACTGCGCGTCGCTCCGCTATCCACTGCTGTCCTACACCGGGATAAGAGTAGATGTCATAATTCCCTTTCTGTGGGTAAGCAAAGGGGAGAACTAAACCAACATGAGGGATTTGTGTCCAAATACTTGTCCAGAAAGATGGACGCCCCTGAACAAGTCAGGAGAAAGGGAACCCAGCACGGCAAAATCAAGCAACCTGACGAGAGAAGTCTAGCAAAGGATTGTCAGAAGCTCCACTCTGCGAGGCCATCAACGTGCGTTGACCACGATCCTGTCTGACAGCATGCCATTGTGTTGCCGATGGTGTTCCTCTTCCACCAGCATGCAATACATGCATACCCAATGCAAAACACACATCGGGGTTGCCTAAAGCCGATGCCTGCAAAACCCATATGTTGCTCATGGGAGGGATCCCATCGAGGAATTCCTTAACCTGGCCGACCTTGCGCTGCGTGCGCAACAAATGCCAAAACAACGCGTCAGGCCGAGCTGCTCCAAAATCCGCTTCTCCAACCTCTCGATGGTGGCATAGTTATCCTCCAGGTTCGAGTGGAGTGTCCTGGCGAACAAACCTGATTGCTACAGGGAGACTACCTTAAAAGGAACACAAAAGGACACCCACAAGTAAGAAGAACAACTCAGGGGGACCTGGCTCTGTATTGGTTTTCCAGAAAAGGGCTGCTGGACACCCGCCAGCCCGAATTCCTCCCGATATTTGGGCACTTCGTGTACCGTGTGATGGCGTTTGGTGCTGTTGTACTTCCAACCGAAACACATCACGGTACTGAAAGGACATTCTTGAACTGGCCACCAGAAGGTGATCAAAATCAGCCTCTCAACAGAACACTTCCAGGTGCAACCCTCATCTACATTTTTGGAGGTGCTAAGTTGGGGCAGTTCCCCAAATCTAAGCCAAATCACCCCGGGACCAACGCCCAATGGCTATCAAATGGTTTCTTAAGTCACCTACGAATACCAAAGCGGGCAATTTGTTTTGTTGGGTAGGTGACAGGCTGGTATAGCTTGTCGCCGTCCGGATCCCAGTTTGTCGGAAACCCTACAGATCCATACTCCTCAAAAGTGCCCGTTGCTTCCAGCAATAACTATCCATGGTAAGATCTAAGCATACCCTTGATCTGTTTACCTGTAGGTAACCAATGGCAAACCCATTCGTTACAGACTGAAAGGACAAATGTTGGCGAGCTACTCTTGAGGTAACTGGCCAGTAGAGAGGTTAGAATAAGGGTACCCTTTTTTTCTGTAGCATTGGGGGACCTAGCTGGGATCCACAAAATACTGCGTTTCACTCCCGGAAGCCCTAAGCACAGCGGTTTTCCCAGGACCACTCCGGGGGTATCATCAAGAAGGACCCCTCCACTGAAGCTGAAGCTCCTTTCGCCAGTCACGAGTCAGCCCCTTTCCCTTTTCGAAGGAAGCAAGATGGGAGATTTGCCTAGCTTTGGACACAGCCAGTCTCACGGTTGGGATACGTTTCAAAACAGGAGCTGCCTCATGCTCGGATCCAATCTGAGTCCCTGGCAACGCCGGCAAAAGAACACACACGAACCCAATGACAGTACCTGTTGTCTATCGTCTATCATTGTGAGGTTTGGAGCACCCCCTGGTTGGTAACCAACACTTGTCCTTGTTGAAGGGTGGTTCCCTTTGCCAACTAAAAAAAAATAAAAAAAAATATGGATCCGCCGGGTTTGATGCACAGCCGCCGGCCTGAGGATGTCTGCCTGCGTTTCAGTCTGAGAGGTGTACTGCGTCTGCAGGATGGAGTTGCTCACCTGGCAGCGACTAGGAGAGTCACCCCCCGCTTCAAGACCCCTTCGCATACCACCACCCTAAAGACCCCTCGAACAAGACCAACTTTGACAAAAACTGGAGGTGTGTGTGTGTGTGTTGTGTTTGGTGGCAGATCCGCCTTACGAGGTCAAACTTTCGTTGCCCGGACCCACCCAAAATGTTTCGCCAAAATGACCGCTAGCAAAACCTACCAAGGCAGAAGCAAGGATCCGGTTCACAGCTCCTGGTGAGCAGTGATCGACTTTTGGGGTACCCACAGCACAAACGATTTATGTGAGGGCTAATCCATATTCCTGGCACCCAACCAAACACGGGTAATTTTGTTTCTTGACTTGTGTCGAAATAAACTAATGCAAAACACACACACACACACCACACACACACACACATTAATGTACCAGAGGAATTGCCAAAGGTTCAGACTTGGCTCCCCTCAAACCAGTCCCACACCATGTTTTTCGGCACGCCAGATCTGCGCCTTCAACTCCTTGTTCTCGGACTCCAAACGCCATACCTGGGAATGACTCGTCCATGAGACGGACGAGTCAAATCCGTGAGTGGATCAATCAGCTTCCCTCGTGGTCTCGTGGTGTGGGTTCTCAATATTCGGGTTGATCAATATTTCGGGGGTTGATCAACTAGGTCCTCCAGTAGAGCGGTGAGAATAAGGGTGCCAACTTTTGTCTGTAGTCTATTCTAGTAGGAGCATGGGGGGTTGATCTATATTCCGGGCCCATCAGGGCTCCCAATTTCTCCCCCATAACCCCCTGAGCAAAACATCTAGGCGTTCGCAGGCTTAAGGGACAGTGGCTTGCTCGCAACACGTCTCTCCTTGTGGGCCATCCGGTCACACGCGACGCGAAGCTGAGGTCTCGACCCTCTCTTGCAGCTTCCGGAGCGTGAAGTGCTCCTGCACCTTCGGAGAAGCTTGCTGCGAAATCGGTTGGAATGAGTTGGAATCAAGCGCTCTGGGGGCTTCCCGAATAAAGGAAACCAAATCGGGGATGGTTGAAAGGGGAGTCATTAGGCTCTTTGGTTTCAACTAAAAGCATGGACCGTTTTAGTTGTGTCCTGACACAGAGACTCTAAAACAGGAGGGTCCCATGTATTTGACCCTATATGTAACCAGCCATTGAACGTGTGGCTTTTGAAGGATGGTTCCCTTGGTTACCTACAACACCAGGCAAATCAATGCACCCTCCTCCGGGTGGTTTTAGTTTCCATGCCGAGGATGTCCCAAGGGTCGCCTCAAACAACCAGACCTGGGCCCTTGGGTTTCCAGCCCAGATGTTAGCTCCCAAAAACTTTCCTTCGGGTGGGGGGGTCTTCTACGGGGGGCTGGAATGGGGGGAAGGGAGACTTTCAAAACCTTGGTATGGCAAACAACTGACTGCCTTTTTGCACTACTAAACATGAACAGGATCGGAAAAAAAGGAAAAACAACGATCCAACAACAGTGAAGGCAACCAAAGGAACCAAACCAATGTTCTACCCTAGCAACCTTGAGCCAAATTGACACGCCCCAACACCTCTTGAATAGTCATTGCAACAAGTGACATATCGGACAAGTGCGGTCGCAAATTGGATCAACAGGACGTTTTACCAACCCTTGGGAGGAGCGGATTCCCTACTTTGGCCACACTCGCAAACAAGCCACCACAGCTGTGGGAATGTGTCAACAGGAGTGCCTCCATGTGGCAACTACCCCAGAAAGGCTCTCGGCCTGTGGCTTTGATACACGGTCATTCTCTCTCACACCCTGAAGGCAGTTCCCCCACTTCTAGCGCTTTTTGTGGGGTCCTTCTATCAATTTCGGGGCGAGTACCTTCCATTTGCGCACTCCGGACTGACCAGCAATCGACCCATTTTGTCTGGCATTGTAACTCTTGTTTGTGAGTCAAAGGCACAACACACGGGTCCATTTAGGGTCCACTGAGTCCCCCAAAGTTGAACACTTACCCAGTGGATCCCAATTCGCCCAACAGTGTGGCCAACCATGCATTCTCCTTGTGGTTTTTAAGGGCTGGTTCTCTTGATTCCCTACCGGCAAATGGATCCATTGGGTCAGTACTGACCCATCCAAGTAGACCCCGTCCGATTCGGGACGTGTTCTCTCCAGGAAGCCCTAAGGGGGAACCCTCATTCACTTGCAACGGTGCGATAAGTTGGGATGAGTTGGAATGAAGTTTGGGGATTCCCTGAAAACATTGGATGGTTTTTCTCGGGGTTCCATGTCTCATTCCCTGGCAATCGCACCAAGGTCATGAACACTTCCCATTGGGCGCCGAGTGCCCGACCTGCTCCGTCCTGGGATCATCCTGATCGATTCGCTCGCGCGGAACTCGCGCGCGCCAAGGATGGGACGTCACCAGAGGTGAAACTTGGGAACCTTGTGGTTGTACTTGTGGTCTTCAAATAATTCTCCGAAAAAGAGGAAGGTTCATCTGGAGATCCTTCATGCAACTTGTGAAAAGGAGTCAAGATGCCTTTTAAGTCAAGGCCACAGATTCTCCTGAACGTTCAAAGTCAGCTCCAGCCGCTGTCGACAGGAGTTGGACCCCTTTGATGGGTCCATTTGGAAGAATGACAAGAAACATACGCAAATTTGAGCCGCAAGACAACCGACTGAAGAATGACCAGAAACATACCCGCAAATTTGAACTGTAAGACTGAACGGGGAGTAGCAAACTACTACGAGTCTGAAGCCTAGCAAACGCAAAGCTTCAGAAGGGAGGACTCTGGACTCCAGAGGCAGGTCTCTGAGGCTAAGCATAAGCTGTGCTTTTGTGGAAACCACCGGACACCCCTTTTTATTACGACGCCCAGCGAACAGCTCGTAAGACGGGTCCCGGCACTTGGCCCAAATCCCTCGCTTCAGTGTCAAACATCGCTGCTCGACCCAAGGTTACTGATGATACCATGGCTCACTTGAGAAAATTTCTTGGCAAAGGTGCAGACTCGGGTGTGTCTTGAAATTGGCCCTTTGGTTTCCCTTGAAACCAACCCCAAAAAGCATCTATTCCCACGCCCTCCTCAGCTGGCTCAAATAGAAGCCACCAGCTATTCTAGGAACATCTTCTGTCCAAAGACCGGACCGTCCTTTGTCCCCGAATCGAAGCTCAACTTCTTACTACGCAAATATCATAAAACAACCCCAAAACAAAAGCAAACACTTGGTCAGTGAACGAATCTGAACTAGTGCAGCATTCCCCAGGGATTCAAAGTGTGTTTCCTTTAAGACCAGGCCATCAGACAAATGCTGGTACACACTGACAATACCTCCTGCCAGCAACAAATCCAAGTACTGAGTTTGACAGTTTACTGTGTACACCAGGCCTCCCGATATTCTCCGTTAACCACCACTTTCACATCAAGAGAAATCTCATCTAAAAGTGGCCTGGGGGTCGATCAATAGGGCCTTCAAAAATGACCATGGGTCACTTTTCCCATTTAGTGGGGGAAAGTTATGCCAGTTTGGTATTTTTCTTGATTGGTCATCCCATGTAAAGGAGCTTTTGATCAACCCACATGTGTAAAAGATCTCAAAAGGGAAGCATTCAGCGTCCTTCCAATTGGCGGTTTGGATTGCTGGTTTGGCGGTTTGGTGGTTTGGGTTGGCTTCTCGCTTACCCTGCAAGAGCCAAAGGTTCAAATCCAAATCTAAACCTCCGATCCAAGTCACCAACTACTTGCTGGTGCCATAAGTAGGATTAAAGGAAACCACCAGTTGGATGGTTTAGGCTCATGCCATGTATCAATCCCTGAATCTCTCGCACCAGCAAGACTAAGTTCTTGCCATCCTGGTGTTGTTCGGGTTGGTCTCATTTACCCTCTACAACCAGAGGTTGCAGATCCGCATCACCAACCAAGGCTTACCTGAAACACTTTCTAGGTCCTCCAGAATAAGGGTACCATATTTTTTCTGTAGTCTATTTTAGACACGGGATTTTCTCCCCAAAAAAAACGGGGTGAGAAAGGCTGAAAGGGCACCTAGCTGGGGGACCTAGCTTTCCAAGCCCAGCACCCATCCGAACCAAAGTTTTTCACTCGCCTTCAGCAGCGCCATGGCGCTGCAAGCCCGCGGGCTGAGCCAGAGGCGCGAGCGGAGCGCAGAAAGGTCCGAGTGAACCAGCTGAGAAGATGTAGCTCAATGTGCAAAATACGAGCAGCCGTTGTTGGTATTGTTGGCTGACTATGAGCAAAACAAGAGCAGCCACTATGAGCAAACACAAGCACTCCGTTTCTCCTTGTTGGCTGATTAAGGGAAAACTCTTTGATGTCAGCGGCTGCTCCAAGGCCTCCTGAGCAAAGGTCGAGTCTGACCTTTTGTAGGGTTGAAGGACAAAGCACGAAGTATAAGACTACCGCACACAAACTTTAGAGGTCGAGTGTTTCCAAAAGAAACGCGAGCCCTGTTTTTTGTTGAGTCTGACGTTGTGCAGGATTGAAGGAAAAGCCACTTGCTTCCAAAAGGCCTCAAATCAAATCAAGGTTCCGCCATGCTGGACGGCCGGGTCCGAATGGAACAACTTCTTTTCTCTGCCACAATAACCCGCAAATAGCGGTACAGCAATAAAAACGCCCGGAAGTTGGCCAAATTGTTAGAGGCAAAACAGGTCACAAGGCTTTGCAAGTAGCGGAGATAAGTGGGGTAACTAGATGGCTTGGAGGTAAGCTCAATGCCAAGCTACCTTACCTTCAAGGATTAGTAGGAGGGTTTATTATAAGTGAAGGTTGCATGCGGGCAGAATTCACCGCTTAGCTAAGTCTCGGGCCACTGTAGGAACCAAGCGTACCCCTGTTGGACTGTGTGGATGCCACAGATGAAGCGTGTTGCCCTTTCACAACCAAACCCTGCCATCCCCTGCGCTTCCGTCCCTGGCTCGTTGCTTCTCTGACTTTCGTCTTTCCATTCCCCTGCAGATTTAACATGGGACCAACAAACAAAGGGTCACGCCAAAAGAGATTCCTCCCTAACATGAGTGTGTTGTGGGTTCCAAGTCACTTGTTGTTTGAACACCGCAACAAAATCTGGGCTGCCTTCAGATCCCCCGCTAAAAGTTTAACTTTTGGTGGCTTAAAAGGAAACCTACGGGGATGGCTGGGAGCCACCAAGACATGTGCCGCCTGCAAGCGCCGGGCGCCTTTTTCGCGGCCGCTTCTCCCCTTTGTACAGCTCTTGCGGGATGAGCGCCCACCCATGCCGTGGCCCGAATTTCCCCTCGAAGAAGCTGGGGTCGATGCACGGGGGCGGGTAGCTGGCGGCTCCATGCAGTTCCAACTCCTCACTCGTCATCAACCACCTGCAAGCGGGAGGGTATGGGGGCAACTGGAAACTCGGACAAGTATCCAATCCCGTCATGATTTTCAATGGAACACATGCTACAAAAGGGGAAGAATGTGGACATTAATAAGAAAACGGCTCTTAACTCGACTAGCAAGCTAATCTCTGTTGGCATATGTGTTGAAATAAACTGAGCAGAGGGTCCAAGGTATGATGTCTTTAGTCCAGACTCTTTGTTTGCTGAACTGGCCTTCCCAAAAAGAATCATAAGCCCCCAACTCGCCCAGTGGATTTTAGGCGTCTCGCCACTATAGTTCACCCTCCTTTGGGTCTTTCTAGGCATCCCATTGGTCACCTATACAGCTTCCTTGTGTATATATATATAATGGAAAATGTCAAGGGTTCCCTTGGTTGCGTTCAGGTATATTAGGTACAACCTGCTTCCTCCAGTCATTTCCTATTTTGTTCCTCTTCGGGTTGCCCAGTTTGGGCTCAGAAACAAAAGGCTCACCTTTTGGAGCCTTGACTGATGGACTACACATCACGGACACCAAAAGGTCAGATCCGGTCGATTCGCTTTGGTCCAGTGAGATACTTGGGTGTTTGCCCAAGTTAGTAAGTTGTGGGTAACCCGGGCTCAAAAATGATGGGCTTCATTCGCATTGATGTGGGTTGAGGGTCCAGGCATGCAAATTCCAGTCTGACGGCTTCCGTGTCGCTCGATTCCTCTGAGTTTCCGGGCGGCTCGTGGATCAGGTCGGAGGGCACGTCTTGCAGCTCAGGCACCCAGCGCCGCAGATAGGTTCCCAGGGGGTCGAACTTCTGACTCTGGCGGACCTCCGGGCTTCGTTTGGTTTGGCTTCCGTCTTTGCTTTTAGAACAGCGAGATTCAGAGGGACTGACGTTTGCCCTAGTTGTTATTTTTCATGTTTGGTTTCTTTTCGAAGAACGAGATTCAGAGGGGCTGACTCTGGTGGACCTGAACACCCAAGAAACCAGCAAAACATGGTTCAGGACACCCGCCTGTTGTTGCTGGTTTTGCGCAGATGTCCTATAAAAACAATCCTGTGGCTGGTTTCTATGACTGATGGCACTGCTGGGTCTTAATTGTCCTTCCCGTTTAAAAGGCTCTGTTTGAGTCTGCTTCTCTTGTTTGGTTTGCTTTCAAGTAAAGGATCTGGATGCTCAACAAAGGGCGCTGCAACCCCCTCGAAAGCTGCCTCGCCGGACCGCAGGAATCCTCCGGAATCTGGAACTCTCCCCTTCTGGAACTCTCCCCAAGCTGAGCAAATTTGGGGCCACCCCAAAGCCTCCAACTCTTCTTGGCCCATGCCAGACAATCATCTTTTCAGACTCTTCATATTCAGTACCATGAAATATGATATTTTGGAGGAGCCCTGAGGTCTGGCGCGCTGGTTCCTGGCAGGCTTTCCTTCGAGCGGCTGTCCCAGTGGATTCACAGCCCGAATTCAGAAATTCCGAGGTAAGGAGACCAAGGGTGAGTGCGTTCGGGATGCCAGAATGCCTGGAACCTACCATATGGCGAAACAGATTTTCAGCGCTGGCAAAGGTTAACCTTTAGTGACCAACAAGACCAAGACGTATTCCAGGTTACTCTGAATCTGTGGTTTGGATTGGTTTGGGGAATTGAACCTCTGCTTCTTGTTGAGCGTGCCCCCTTACCACCAAATTACCAATCCAACCCAATTGGAGGGAAGCTGAAACACCCAAGTTTCATTGAAGCTTGAGATCTCAATTTGAGATCCCATTTGGAGGTATCAAGATTCAGGTGACAACCTTAAGACGTTCAGAGGAACCCTGGATCCCCGTTTCCCCCGTAGCAACCGTTCAGCTTCCTTTCAGTTTTAAAAGGGTGGCAAGCCCTTGGTTACCCTAGGTCCTCCAGGAGAGAGGTGAGAGGTTAGAAGAAGGGTACCCTTTTTGCTGTAGTCTATTTGAGTAGGGGAACCCTCCCCCGGTGAGAAAGGGCACCTAGCCGGGGGACCTAGTTACCTTGCGGAGAAGGTAAATGGTTCCACTAAACACATACAGAAACCCCCCCACCCCAACCGAGGCGCCACATTGAAGGAGCTCAGGCCACTGTCTGTGAGCCCGGCGCAGCGAACCCAGTTGCCCCAGTTGGACGTCACGTCCTAAGTCCGAGTTTTCAGGATTGGACCCCAGAATAGTCGTTGTCCTTTTGATTTCCCCTTAAACCCAACCAGAAAGGGTACCCTGAAAAAAAGACACACCCATCCCACCTACCCCACCCCAAACCGGCTGGAACCCTTGTCGGCTTCCGGACGACTGGATTGGCCAACTGAACTTGTTGTAACGATCGCAGAATCAGGGAGTGAGGATAGCAATCAACCTGCCAAACCGGTTCCACCCCAACCCATGCCCTTGTATACTTGTCAGGGCATGCCCCTGCAAACGATCACACACGCAGGTACGTCATGCAAGGACATGTCACACAACCAAATTCAGCAGGTGATCTACTCAGGGCACGTTGTTGGGGTAGACGGAGAAAAAGAACGCCGGCCAAGGTACCGCATATGGGCGTCTCGGCCAGCATGCTGGTTGGTGCTTTCAGGTAAAAAGCGTTTGCTTGGCCTCTTCCAGGGAATCAACTGTGCCTGTGCGAGCCAGATAGCTCCACCTGCTGAAACAGGTGATTCTATATTTAGGTTACCATGTTTGGGTTGGTTTGAAAGAACCACCAACAGGAAAGCCCACCCAAAATGTGGGGTGCACCCCTATTTTGACACATACTGGTACCCAATGGGCTACCCTTTTCTGTGATATCAAGGGTTGATTCCCCTACCCAAGACTAGTACATATTAGTACTGTACTTGTGGCATTCGCTTGAAATTCCTCTGTGGCAGAAAGTGGCAACCCAAACCATGAACATTTTACACAGCCATGGCCTGTGAAGATTCACATGTGGGTGTTGAACAGGGGTCTGGAAAATCAACTACCCAAGTAGTTTTTCAGCGTCCCTTTAATCGGTGGGTGGTTTGAAGGTTATGGAGTGGGAGTGGCTTCCCATTCACCCTCTACACAAGCCAAGGGTTCAAATCCCCAAACCACCAATCCAAACCGCCAACTAAGGGTTACTTTTTTGGTTTCCTTCAAGAAAACATCCCTTTTTGCTTGGCACCCCGTGAAACACGGACATTCTCCCGCGCCAGTCCGCTTCTCCCATACGGCGAGTCTCGTAATCGATGAGGTGGCTCTCGAACCAATCCGCGCCGCGCCTGGCGGTGGGAGTTCGGCATGGACAACCCGAGAGTCCTCCAGAAAGGGAGTTCGAGGGCCCAGAATCCAGCGAATTGGATAATCTCAAAACTGCTCAATGGTTGCCGTCTTTTTGGCAAGCAAGAACAGCCCTGACAACTTACGCCCCTGATTGACATAGAACTCCAAAACTTTGCTTGAGGAATCTCCTGTTGGGCTGCCCCGATAAGGCTCCGTGGAAAGCTGCCCAAGAAGCTTTTCTCGATTTCGCCCACTTTTCCCCCGGGCTTTGTTCACCTTGGAGCCGCGCCTCCAGTCGAAGCTCATACTCAAGGCCAGGAACGACGCTGCGTTGAGCCGCGCGTGGTTGGACATGTAGCCTGTGATGGACAGCTCACGCATGCAGGCGTCCACCAAGGGATAGCCTGCCAACGGCCGACTTTCTCCGAGACGAAACCAGCACCGGAGCGTTTATCGAATCTCATCAATTATCATCGAAAGTCGAGTACAGTATCAAAGAGTTCAACTACATGATCACATGTGCCATGACATCTGGCATCGACACTAAGCATCACAATATGTACCATATATTCGCCAAGATCGGCAACATGAACATCATCCATGCCGTGTGTCTTCGCGACGATGAACTGTTAACCTGAACATCTCATGTGTTGTTACACTTATATGTCTTGTCAAGCGTAACAGCAACGCGACCATCATTGGTCATCAAAGGCACTAGTAGCTCTATCATATCGTGTCATCACACCTAGCATCGAAGACTTCGTCAAATGCATGGTCAGACGGACCGGCAACACTTTACATGTCATCAACCTAATCACCAAAATATAAGGCTGATGAATGTAAAATCACTCTTATCAGCAGTCCTATAACCACCAAAAAAGGCAACAACTAAGCTATAACCTCTGGGCCGATGCATGTATAACCACCCTCTATGGGCCCCATGGAGCCAAAGGCTGTTCATGGGTCAAGGCCGTTCATGGGTCCTTGTTAGCCCCCAACAACAGGCTTTTAGCATAGGAGGGGCCCTTGACACACAGAGGAACCACCAAAGTCAAGCACTTGGAGATTTGTCAAAGCATATTAAGAGAGAGAGAGAGAGAGATACTTCATGAGGCCCGAGTTGGGTTTCACCACATTCGAGCTTGCATACAGTACCCAGTGGATCCATTTCCCTGTTTAGTAGGTAACCAAGGGAGCCACCCTTCACACACCAACAGGAAACTGAACGGTCACATTACGTATACGGGTAACTGGGATCCACAGGGTTAGACATGTGAAGTGGACATATATACCCAGATCCCATAATACCGCATACCCGTGACATGATCATACCTAAAGCCATATATCTATGAGCTGTACATTAATTTCAGAAACAAAGACATGCGGCCTGTCCGACCATTGGACCAGAGATGGAAGATCCGCTCATCCTGCATCCACTGCTTCCTCTTGTTCTTGAGGCCGCCGCGCCGGAAGATTGCAGTGCCTCAACTCAGCCCAGTGGATCCCTCCTGCCCAGACACTGGGCCCAAAGCTCCCTGGAGTCTCCAATGGGGTCTGGGTCTATTTCTTGCCGTTTGGTGTGTAACAAAGAAAACCTCCCTTTAAACAAACAAAGGGAGGCTGGTACCCACACAACTAACTGGGATCTGGGATAGGTTTGTGGAATGGTTGGGTGATATCATGCTTTAAGCTATTGATTGAACACGGTCCTTTGGGCTTACTTTTAAGCACTTTTGATAGATTCAGCCCAACAAGAACGGGCTGCGAGCTGCAGCTTGGTCACCTCATGCATTCGAAAGGTGGGATCTTCGGCATGTCAAGTCTCGGCTTATGGAGCCGTGTTGCCCCTACACTGACCGACACGAAAGGCTCAGGCAGGATAACACGAGGTTCTGGAAGGCGCAGGCTCTTCACAAGAGCAGCACGCGGGGGTGCCACATCGACATGACTCACTCCCCAGTTGGGTCCCACTGAAAGGTGAAATTAAAGGGATCACCTGTGAAACCCGTTCGATCTTAGCCGTTTTGCCCCAGGAAACTAGCCATTGTCCTTCTTTGACAGGGTGGGAAACCCCATGGTCGCCTATTGGACTTAGTAGCTAGCATCCGTGGGTTTTAAGACCAAAGTCGTGGTATTTCTGTACAGGTCAATGGATCCCTGGTAAAGGGAGCCCCCCGTGCCATGCCATGGACACCTGGAGTTTATTTGTAGCACCAAAGCCTAACAAAATAATGCCCTACGTGCGGGTTGGTCACTTTCAGTCCACCAACCCCTGCCCCCAACCTAAGTTGCCGCATAGCCTCCACTTGGTTGCTGCCTGCAAAACGCTTAGCCATCTGTGGGTCCAATTAAAAGTCCTCTGTTGCTAAACAACTTAAAGCCCAAAGATCCAACCGAATAGCCAGAAAAACCCTGGACAGGGGGTCTGTTCGCCACCTCTTGTGGAAATTTGTTCGACCCGTAGTGAAGGATTCCTTTTTTGGGGGGGGTCACCAATCTTCTCACAGGTGGCAAAAAGACCCCCGTGACCCCCCTGAACCCCATCCATCCCCCAACAATTTTTCCGCGGTGCCGTGCTTGCCCGCCAGGAACCGGAAGAAGTCCCGCCACGTGAGCTCCGTGACCAGCCGCTGCGCCTGCGGAAAGCTCGAGGCGTCCAAGGCATCCGAAGCATCCGACTCCGCCAGGAAGCGGCAGACCTCCCAAAAGACCTGGCGGACGCGGGAGGTATTTGGCTGCGGTTGTCAAAACCGTTTTGGATCCCATTTTGGGGTAGGTGAATTCAGCACCCATTATAGAACCTGTTTTTGTGAGGATTGGGATGTTCACTAGGGTACGGGATTTTGACCCACAGCCATTTTGGTTGGGGACCCTTTGGTGGAAATGCAGATCCACGAAGAAGCCGGGCAGGGTGGTGTCGAAAGGAACAACCAGCATCACAACAAAGGGACACTCAGCAAAGCCAAAAAGAAGCATCCACCATGGTCCCCTTCTTTGGGACCTGGCAGTTCGGCATACCAAAAAGGAAAGCTGTAGTGTTAGGCTACACTATTAGAACTACCCTACGACAGGGTTCGTTGTCTAGGTCCTCCAGTAGAGGGTACCCTGTTTCTGTAGTCTATTTTAGTAGTGGAACCCTTCACAAAAGGGGAGGGGGGAGAGAAGGGCACCTAGCTGGGGGACCTAGTTATATTTCCCCTGTGAACATGACTAGGTGAGGTGGCCCCATCACGCAGAAGGCAACCGCAAACCACAAGCCCAACCGGCGATGTTTCGGGCTCTGAGAATAATCGGTACAGTGGATGCTCCCATTTTGCAAAGGGAAAAAGGGATCCGATTCTCTTTACCGTGATCCACAGCTTTATAAGATAAATATGGTTGGCTTACTTGCAATATGGCAGGGGCAATCGTGCAGGGCCGGTGAGTGACAAGGATCTTGTTGCCCACAAACACATACAGAAGACAAGGGGCCAGAAGTCTACCCGCCATTTGGAACTCGTGACATTGTTTTGGGTAAGCGTTTAGAACCAGTGACCTGCTCCGCTTGACTACATGCCCTGAACGGCGCATGACAATTCCTACCAACCTCAAGTGTAAGGGCCGGGTTGAGCACGGTACATTTGGCACCAGCCAGCGACCATGCTTATATTGTGGCTTTGTAATTAGAGGGAAGTCCTGGCAAAAGAAAGGCAAAAGCCCTTTCTTGCAACCGGCGCTGTGCCGCAGGAACATGGACACAGTTTTTGCTTGATTGATTTAATGGGCGTATCTTCTCAGAAGTCATGGCTCTTCATCGTTTTGGGAGGTTCAATTGCAGAACCCCACGGGCAAGTTGCCATTTCGTGGGCAAAGAAATGGCTTCCGCAAAATCGGAAAGGGATGGTTTAGCCGCACGCTGGGAGCCTTTGGAAACCCAAAGGCTTTTGTAGGATGTGTCAACATAGTGTCTCTTCCAGTTTGGTTGACTGGTGGCAAAAAAGGCAATAAAATTCGGATTGCATGCGTACATCCACCCACCCGAAAAGAAAGAAAGAAAGAAAGACAGAAAGAAAATAAAAGAAAATAATACATCTCCGCTGCAAACTCACTTGCCCTGGACTCAGAAATGAAAGGTGATCACCTTTTGAGGCCGTGAGCAAACATGGACAACCTAGGAAAACCAAAGGTCAGATCCGGTCGCTTCTCTTCGGCAAGTGAGCAAATTGACATGAAACCAAGGGGTCCCCCCAAAAGGAGCTTCCCCCATGCATCGGGGTTTTGGCCTGATGGCCTGATGGCCAGCGCTTCGGGTCAACCCCCTCCAATGATAGAAATCCCTTTTCAACTCACTCGATAAATCCGCTTTTCGACTCGACAAACGCGGCTTGGCTTCGACTAAAACTTCGACGTCCGCTTCGCTCCGCTTTTTTCTCCCGCGCCTGGCGAGGCGACAGCGCGCCCAAGGACATCCAGGCGCCGAGCTTCGAGGCCAAGTAGTCCCCAAAGATCAGCTGCCTGCGACTTTCCCCCAGCGCCACCCGCTGCGAGTTTGGGCCACGCGGGGGGTCGATCTCTTGGGTCTTAAGCGCCGAAAAAAAAGGGGCGAGTCGGATTTCCAAGGTGGAAGTTTTTTGGTCAGAGTGGATCCGAAAAGCGGCCAAAGGAACTTTCGGATCTGTACCTGACATGTTACCAAAGTGACTGAAGCTCAGCACCTCTTGCGTCGCACTCTGGCCAAGTCCAGGGACCCACACCAAACCGCGAAAACAAAGAAAATATGAAGTCCAGGTTCCTTGTTTAGGAATTGGCTCCCTCCAACAAAAAAACTATATATATATATATAGCACAGGTTTCCTTTTGGTTGCCCATTAGCAAAGGGGTACCAACTCCAACAGTGCCCAAGGACCCACCGGTCGGGGGTTTTGGTATCCCATTTCCACCCGCCTCTCCGTGTCCAGCTCTGAGCACCTAGGTGACATCACAAAAAACGCCGTGACGAAATGGGCTTGTCTCTTTTTCGGGATCGGCCTATGGGTTGGAACTGTCCTTTGCTTTTGTTGTTTTGGGCCCGGCCCCTGGTTGCCCAGAAAGCCTTTCCTTCAAACACGGGGACAAGGTCAGCTGGACGGGTCATCCTCCTCTGATCCTTAGACCTGAAACGGATCCCACTCAACCCGCCGCAAAAAAAGCACTTGGATTCTGGACAACTTGCCATAATTCACACCTGACAATTAGTTGTGAACCCCCAAATCCGTGTTTCTTCATCGTGGGAGATGCCTTAGCCTCAGAATCCAATGCGCTGCTTACCATCTGCCAATTTGGCCAAAGGCGCAGGAAGTCCGTCCGCAAGTAGTCCCGTAAGCGCTTCAGCCCCTGCTGCTCGCCACCCTGAAACTCCTCCGGGGAGGGCTTCATGCCAACTCATCACATCGCATTGGCCCTGTGGCCTCTTTTGCCCTGTGGCCTCTTTTGCCCTGTGGCCTCGTTGAGGGTTTTCACTCATACCGACCCGGAAAACGGTTGGGTATACCCGTCATCTCATGGCATGGCCAGAAATCCCCTGAACATCTTGGATTCGCGAAAAATCCCGAGTCCTCGTCGGCAACTGGTTCAGTCACCTCCTCCGAAAATGGGAGGTCCTTGCGCGGGGCAAAGAGATTGGGTCACAGCTGACACATCAACACCATGTTCAGGTAGTGCGGGAGGTATGGAGGCTTATGTCAGCCAAAATGGCTACGATGGCTACGTATCTCTGATCCCTGATCGATCTCCACCGAACACCCTGACAAAGGTGAGGGTTGTGCTCAAGGTCCAAGTGGCAAGGGAAACGACCAAGCCCAAACCCACAGCCGCACTGCGAAGTGGAAGGCCAGTTTGACCAGCTCAGCCATCCCCTCATTTTCTGGGCAACAATATATACATATATATATATATCTATCTATATACACATACCTCTTGTACAAAGGAAAATCTCCAACCCCCCCCTCATAACCTGAACATGCCCTTGAGCATAGGTCTGTCTCAACCCAGGGCTACCTCCATAGGTCAAAACCATTATGTAAGAGGTACAAATGCCGCCTTTTCTCTGCTATACTATCTGGAAGCACTGGGTCAAAATAGAATCGCGGTGCGCAACTTGATGGTGGATTTCTCGGGAGCCGTGCTTCCAAAGAGCTACAACCTGAGGATCTTTGGGCCGGTTGGAAAAGAAGAACACGGTCGGCAAAACTTGGGAATCAACCCGCAACTCGAATCCAATAAACAAATCCAAAGACTTGGGAAACAACATGGTTGGCAACATGGCATGAATCCAAATCAAAACACGAGACACACGCAACGTAACTGATCTTGGATTCCCAACAAGACTTTCGCACAATTGGGGACTTTTGTGTGAAGTATGGGCAAAATGGTCGAGTCTGACGGTTTCTTGGTATGGAAACATAATGTGTTTCCAAAGGGTCTCTCCGGGGCGGATTCGGCGCTTCTCAAGAATTTGGTCTCCTTTTCGCTTCCTCATCTCCAAAGAAGGGGAGACCGAGACCCTTTTCGCAACACAGGCGATTGAGCAAAACGGCGATTCGCTCCTCCCAGCAGGGCTCGCACTCAAAACCAACTTGCTCCGGCAGCGGCAGTGCGCCAGCAGCCAAAGCCGGCAACGTGGGCCGCACCAGCCCTCGGATGAACAAGGAACGAGAAGCCCAGTTCAGCTCACATCCGTACGCAAGAAACACTCAGATTCTATTTCACGTGGGCGTGAGTTTTATTGGGGGCCCTTTGGTGGACATCAAAATTCGGTGGGGAGTCATGTCCTTCCACTTAAGTGCGGTGGTTTCAACCATCAAAAAATCATTGTCATATTTGGTCTACCCCAAATGCGACATAGAGACCCCGAGTTGTTCAGTCCCAGGGAAGCCATTCCAAGGGATTCCTGGCCGAAAATTGGGCCGCATTTGAATCAGAAACCCCAGATTAAAATGGAGGCGTTCCTCTTGGTTCCCTTTCAACCGACCTAACAAAGGGCACCCTCGCCAAAAAAACACACACACACACACACACAAAACACACAAACACACAAACACACACGGCCATACAAAGGACCCTGCCCGTGGAGAAGCTAAGCCACAAGCCCCCCTCACTCCTTGCAGCCCAAGCGCGCGCCACGCGGCCAATGTCCGAATCCACCTGCGGCGAACTCTCGAGCGCAGGAGAAACTCAGGCGGGGCGATACTCTCCCAACGACTATGTTGGAACCTGACTCGGGGTTCCTGGAGAAACCTGTTCTACAAATGGACCCTCTGGTGGTTCCATGTTAGTGGGAGACCTTTCGCTTTGGACGGTTGAATCATAAATCGCATAGAGAGGCGATTGTTCATGAGGCTTTGAGTGGCAAGGAAGATGACGTTTGCAAATGGGTCTGTCAACAATGCACAAAAAGAACAGCTTTTCAAACCAATTGCAGCGTTCTCACAAACACCAAGTGTTCTCTCTCCCTGAGGCAGCCACGTTTTGGATGTTGCCGTAATCCTCCCACTCCTGCAGGGGAAGAAGTGGTAGGACGCCTTGTCTACATCCACGGGGTCTATGGCTATTCTTACTACTAGTATCCAAGTACTTGGGTGTTCGATTCGCCAAGTTAGCAAGGTGCAACGGTAACTGTTCGGCTATGACCCACGAAAGGAGTCCCCGTCAAAGTGGGGTTAGTCTTGTTATTAGGGGGTTACAACCCGAGGCGATCCCCACTTAACTTGATGAAGCAAACATCCAAGTAGGGTGTTCTGCGTTTCGCCTCTGGCCACCAATGGTGAACCGCCAGCACTGAGTTGACCAGGGCATATGTCATCTTAGAGTTCCGTCCGAACAGCCAACACCGGAAACGGGCTGAAATGAAACCCACCTTCAAATGGATCAAACGGGGAAATGTGTGTGGGAAAAAATAGGGGGCCCAAACATGGGTGGGCTTTCCTTTTGGTCTCTCTTCAAACCAACCATGAAAGATAAATGGTGCCCTCAAAAGCACAAACCCGATAAAGCGCTCCCCAGTTTCTGTTAGGCAAGTTGGTGCCCTTCTGGCGATCCTCGCTCCTCAGTGGAGTCGGGCCAAACCTTCTGCAGCTTGTGCAGGAATCTGGCAAAATACCTGAGTCCCGTTTCCTGAAATGGGAATGGAATGGGTACCGGATTACCGGATTCTTGTCAAGGCAAAAACAAGTTGCAGAATGAGGCCACCCCACTATCCACTAAGCTACACGCTCCTTTTCTTAGCCAAAGGTCCTTCAGTCAGATTCCACAGAGCCATGCATATCCTCCTCATTGATCACGGCCCCAAACAGCCCAAACTCCTTCGGCCTTTCAACCCTCGTCCTTGGTGCCAGGGTCACCCTCTACGCCAAGAGGAACTCAACGGCCAGGTCCCGACCGATGCAGACGTCCCACTGGACCCATCTCTGCCCTTTACCCGGGCACAAAGGCAAACCAAGAGGGTTCCATTGGGGCTTGATCGGACTCCCTGGGAAGCTTCGGCACCTTTCGGCGGGTCTTCGCCAAACGGAGAGCTTTCACTTCAACTTCAATGGCAGCAAACCCCCCGTGAGTAAGCCCTGGTAAACCCTGGTAAGTAGCCTCGTGCACAAAAGCCTAACTTTGGTTGGTTCGAACACAGACATGCTCCCAGCAAGCCAAAGGTTAAAGATCCAGCCAAGCAGCAGCCAAGCTTGCAAGTAGGGCGATTGCCCTTCGCTGCCCAATGGTTGGTGGACACAGCTCCATACCACGAGCTCCACCAAAGAGACTAAGATGAAAGTCATGGTGGAAAGCACTCAGAACCACTAGAAAGAGCTTTTGCTTCTCACCATGTGTTGGTTCAAATTGACAAGTTTCGGGCAAACTGACCAAAGTTCTAGGGGACACTTCCCCATTCTTTCCAGGGATCCTTCTTTGCAGAAAACCATCAGGGAGACAGCTGGTTTTTTAAAAGAACGATGGTTGAGAAGAATGGGGAATCAACCCCTAGAAAAGTCATGGGGATGATTGAAGTCATTTAGCCATTATCCCCGACGAAAGAATTACCAGTGCTGACCGAAACGCTCCGGCATGCCATCGAAGCCATCGGCAAAGCCAATGTCATCCTGCGAGGGTAGACCCCAAGCGTGCCCCGGGGGCAGGTGTCTAGTATCCATGGATATGGGTGTATGGGTGTCCCCTTTTTGGCTGGTGTTAAAAGGCAACAAACACATAATGTGTCCCATTTACCAAGGTTGTAAGTCTCCTAAGTCGGCCAAAAAGCACAGTTGCTCACCACTTGCCTGACCTAGGGGATCCTGGTTGAGTGCTCTTTGATCCATGCTCCGTTTAGTTGTAGGGTGGCAAGCCCATGATTACCCCGTTTGTGTCTGTCGTTCTTTTGGGGGAACCTCCTGTTGGTTGGTTCTTGAAGGGAAACCAAAAGGACACTCCACTCATTTCTGTTCTTTTTGGCGGTCTGATTCCTAAAACAGAGAGATGCCCCCATGTTTGGAAAGGCCCCGGTTGGTCGTTGTTTGGAAAGTTGCAGTCTACTGGTGGTTTCCCTTGAAACGATCGCCACTTTGGGGAGGTTTGTTGGAAAGCCCTGCATTTGGGTCCTTGTGAAAGAGCGTCGAGCCCCAGCAGTATTTCCACGTCTGATCGCCCAGCGCCAAGCGTACCCGGGAATCGATGGTGAGCTCTGCGGAGGTCACCTCTTGCCTGAGCACAGCAGAAGCTACATGCGCCCAGGGTGCTGGGGGCCCAAACCCTTGAAACACACAAACAAACACCACGCACCGGACACACCAGACACACCAGACACACCAGACACACCAGACACACCAGACACACCAGACACACCAGACACACCAGACACACCCAACACTAAACACGAGTGTTTCCTCAACGCGGTGGACTCCGTTTTGGTTGATACTTGAAGGAAACCAAAGAGAAAATCAACCATCTCAGGGGACCACTATTTTGAGAACCCCCCCCTCCCCATATTGCCGCTAAAACAACCTCCCCAAAATCGCGCATCCGTCAAGTAAAACCCAAATCCAACTCCTCTGGACCTGTCCCCAGCTTGATTGGGGCTGTCCAGACCCTCAAAAAGCACTGGGTGTGAATCACGGGGGCCAGCACGTGTCGGCGGAATGGCACCTGGCTAGATCTTTTGAGGATCGGTACCCTTTTTCTGGGGAGGGGAACCAATAGGACAACTCAAATCATTCTCTTTTTGTTCTCCTCCAAGTGCCTATTTCGACACATACCCATACTCACACGTCGTTGGATGGACATGAACCCTAAATGATGTCCAAAGGGTCCTTTTGCACCCATTACAACTCACACCCATGTGTCAACACTGGCCCGTCCTCAGATCCCCTTCCAAAAGTTAACTTTTAGCGGGTTAAATGGAACCCCCCCGCTAACCCCTAAAACGAAAAAGCCTAAGGGCATGGCTGGATATCACCCAAGAACATCGGGAAATCACCCCGAAATCTGGGGCTCCACGCTGCGTGAGCAGCATGGCGCTGGGGCTCAGAAGCCGTGGGAAGATCTCCTCGGGCTTGCCCACCTGAGAGCAAAACCGATCCAAGCTGATCCCATCGATGGCGCTACCCCAAACTGAAGCTACCCTCCCAAAACGTGAAGTAAAAACACTGCAGAACCACTACGGTTAAGGGTAGACCATACTCATTTTGCATGGGGGTAGTGGTTTCGTGGGTATATAGAAACCATCTTGGATCCCGGAACTTCTCCGATCCATTTCTCCAACCTGTGAAAGGCCCACCTGAGTGGCTCCTTTTTTGGGGTTTGAAACGACAAAACTGAGAACATTATCATCAAAACTGGGGTTTGAAGGGCACCCACCCAGAGAAAAATGGTGGAGCATCCACCAAATGCTTCCTGCAAAGCGCGACCCAGTTGAAGCCTCTCCGCCCCACGCCTTCACCAACAAGTCGGAGCCCTCTTTGCGCAGGCGCCGCTTCAACGCACGCACCGTCTGGAGCAGGAAAAGGGCCCTCAGGCTGCCTCCCGGTGCGTGACTCGAACTCGGACTTGCCAGGGCCTTTTGGCCCCCGGTCAAGAGCCCCAGCTGTGAAATCAAAACGAAGGGTGCCACTGGCCTGGGTAAATAACAAAGGTCCAGCCCCTCCATTTTCACCACCTCCACACGCCAATTTCCCCCCCCTCCCCACCCCCACCCCCCCCCGAATGATTGCCATCAACTCTGGCGAAAGTGTCCCGGCCGGTCCGCAGGGTCTTGTAGCGGGTGCGCTGGAAATATCGCGGGTCAAAGACCTCAACTCGGTGCTTGCGCAAGACGGGGGCCTTGCTTCACTCAGACCCCGATCGAGTGGAGGGCCGAAAAAAAACCACCAAACATGCTATTTCTCACCAACATGGTCCCAACCCAAAAAGCTTACAAAGTCCAGAAAGTCAGGGAGTGAGTTCAGAGAAAGCCCACACACCGGTGCGATCTACTGCGAATAACATAGTTTGCAAAGCTTCAGCTGGCACTTCGGTTCCAGCCACTGTTGCAAGCTTGAACGCCGTTTTACAAAGCAGCCAAAGAAACAAAGGCCGCACCCCTGTGGACTGGAGTTACCTTGCTGACCATAGTCATTGACATGTCTCAAACCCAGTCGTGAGCAGCATATGACCATGCTTTCTGAGGTCCAGTGTGTTGGCAAGGGCCCTGTAGTCTTTGGTTTCAAGTTTTGGGGGGAGCAGGGTCGTTGGCGTTTTGCACATCGTTTTGAGCACCTGGCAAAACCTGCTGCCTAGGACAAAGCACATCCACTTGCAACTTCCGTACCACTTCCATTTAATTGAGAATATGTGTTCGTTTCTCGCGTCGGGTTTTTCAAGGGAATCTATCGCTACTGGAAATATGTCTTCGTTCTTGTCGAGGGCACTTCAGCAAATGGTCAATTTCTGTGCCGAAGCACGCCGCGATCGGCCATTTGCTGAAGTGCCCTCGACAAGAACGAAGACATATTTCCAGTAGCGATAGATTCCCTTGAAAAACCCAACGCGAGAAACAAACACATATTGTCAATGAAATGGATGTGGTACAGAAGTTGCAACCCCACCCTCCCACTAACATGGAACCTGACTAAGGGGTCCTGGAACACTGGTTTCCTTTAACAGGGACCCTCTGGTGGGTTCCATGGCAACGTGGGCAGAGGCATCTACCCGCCGAAAACCCAAGCTCCGCGCATACACCGGCAGCACTGGAGCCTTCTTGCGGGCTGCAAGGCTCGCAGCCTGCGGGAGGTCTCCGTGGGATTGGATTTGACCCCCAAAAAAATGGGTGGCTTGCGAGCAGTCGCGCTATCCAAGGCCTGGAAGAAGGGTCAGACTGATGCACATGCTTCTTGCAAGGTGCCTTTGATGTAACCAACCGACGTTCACCATGGTTTCCCTTTCAACTGCCAAGATTGGGAAACCCAAGCCGGGAACCAACACTCGAGGCCTAGAATGGCTTGGCTCTTTCTTGAATCTCGCCAAACAGTTGCAAACCTGCTCGCCTTCGTAGCCTGCCTCGTGCAAAACCGGATTGTCATGAACTCGAAGGTCATTTCGCAGCCACGCACAGACCACGTCCATCGCCTTGCACAACACGTGGGGAAACACCCTCGAAACATCACTTGAAAAAACAATCCCTGGCTCCGTGAGGTCTGCCCATCTCCCAATTTTGCCCTTGTGGGGGGCAAGATAAAGGGACTCATTTTGACCACTTCCACCTATTTGCAAAATGCTAAAAAGGGACACCTGTGAGCATCTCCCGTTTCAACACGCATTCTGGGCATGCAACCCTGTCATGTGATCCCAGGCGTTTTTCGCCCGTCTAGATAGCAAGTATCCAGTCCTGCGCCGCCTTTCGCATTTCAAGGGTTCCTCTTGGTTGCCTCATGGGAAATAGAATCACCGGCTGGGTAATCCAATTACGCTGAGCTTGCCCACCTATGGATCAACTCAGCATGACTAAACATTATTTGGAGCAACCTTCCTAAAACATCCGGGATTGAAAAGGGTCGTTTTCCTCAACCGGAAGCAGCATTGGTGCTCAGCTCGCTTTCTGCTGCATGCTGCGCCGCTCCTATCTACTGCCACTTCTCCTGGCTGCCTGTTTCCCTCCGCCAATTGACCGACATTTGAAGCAAGAAGACGCTTCCCACCGTGCTGTTGCCAATCACGCACAAGCAACGCAGGAGAAAGCAATCTTGCCTGTGGATGGACAAAATCCTGCACCACCTATGAATGCCTGGATTCGGATTCCCTGTACATACCATGGTTTCCATTTGGTGCGAACGGATTTTGCAACCACCCACGGTATGACTTGCCTGTCCGCCCTTTCCTTTGGAACGGGCGGTGTTTCACGCGAACCGCAGTCTGTGCTCTTCGCACGAGCCCGTCCTCCACACGTTGCACACGCAAACGGCTGCGACGAGATAACGGATGTTGGTGTTGAGCTCAGTACTTGAGACTGGCAGGACGGGGTCAAGTACCTCCCAAAAGCACTCGGTACGAAACAAGAAAGCGCCTTCTTCGGGGCCGCGTGTTTCCCTGCAAACAGGTTTGCAATAGAATGTGTAGATTTCGGCCCTCACAACTTACGATGAAGACATGTATATATATATATAATTGTATATAGTACGTACACATATTTCCATGGTAGCGAAGCACAACCATGGTAAGGAAGCACAACCAGTGGATCCATTTACCTGCACAGGTAACCAAGGAGTTCCCACCTTTTAAACTGGAAGGACCATGGCTAGCTGGCTACTGGTTGACCGGTTACACACTATTTGCAGAAAGGACAGTTGCAGGGGATGCTGGAAAGCGGGGAAGATGGACACTTTATGAACCACCCATCTCCCATTTAAGTTAAACTAGTGCCACCTAACCCAAAAAGACGCCCATGGCTTGCCTATCCGCTGATAACCCATTGCATCGAGCCAGCAGACTCTAGCGAGCCCGGCGCGGGCGCCCGTTGCAGCTCTCACCCGAAGCCGACAAAACCTGGCGGGCGCCGCCGGCCGAGTCCCTCACCGGACATAGACCTTCCAAGGTTTCCCTAGGAGCCAAAGGATACTAACTCATGTCCCCAAAAAGAGTAAACACACTTATTGTGTGTTAAGAATAAAATTGTCCAAACCCAAAAAAGCTTAAAGTCCATGAACTCAGCTGGGGTCCGAGCAGGACATGATCCTCTGCAACTGGTTGAGTTCGGGGGTGCCTGTGGTCTTCGTTGAACAGTGTCCCCCAAAGGAACGCAGCAGCGTGATTGAACTGTGATAGGGTTGCTTTTGGTTTATGGTGTTCGGACACAACATAGTACATTTACACTAAAGCTCCGAGTATTGAACCAACTACCAACTGCCAACAGTGAACTTGAACTTGGCGGTTATGGTCCTTTGGCTAAATTGGTGTATTTATACAAGGCTTACTCTAAAGTCCTGTAAGCAAAACAAAAAACAGGCAGTAGAATTGTCTGCTAAAATTACCCTGTTGGGGGTTTTGGGCGCTGCTCACACCGAAACTCCAGCACAGTGTTACTTTTTGGTCCCAGCGCCGACGCTAGGGACAAGCGGGAAAAACGAGTGCCGCTTGGCCGCCGTTACTTGACCACCAGGAGTGCCAGTTGCTAGCAGGCCGTGCCAAGGGCTGAGCCAACAGCTTTAGCAGAGCTCTCGCAGCAAACCCGCAACGAGAATCAATGTATGGTGAGACGCTTTGAGGGGGGGGGGTCTGGAAGTGGCTGAGACAACTGCAGAGGGAACCTTCTTAGACTTGGCGCAAATAGAAGCAGGGCAAAGAGAAGTGTGCTTGTGGCGCAAGGCTGGAAACACACAGACGAACCGTGGAGACGGAAGGGTAACTCTCTTGCAAACACAGAAGCGGGAGAGGAGGCACCCAGGGTAGCGGAGCAATGCTGCCTGGATTGATGGCAGGGTCCCCGCAGACAAGGCTGGAAGAAGCACAGCGTTTCTGGTTGCTCAGGGAAGACCAGACACCCCAGGGCCAAAGGCGGCCAAAAGAGCCTACTAAAGCACAACTGCTGCAACACTTGCAACGCACTCGCCCGAATACCTTTGGCAATGGCGGCAAGCAGGTTCAATTGCCGCAGGGTGCTATGTTTCAATCAAGTACAAACAAGGAGCTGAGTCATCCCAAGCAACAAAGAAAGTCACTCAGAAACTTGTTGGCATTCCACGTCGCACATGCGGGACACCTCGCAAAAACCCGAGGACTGCCCAATGTTCCCACGTCCTTTGGGAACATTTTACATTTGGCACGTTGCTTATGTGAAGGATTCTGTCTTCGTGGCGTCGGGGACTGCACAGAAAGCGTGTGGTGGCAAAAGTGCTTCCCCAAAAGCTTGGGAAGTTGGAAAGTGGAAGAACCTCGTTGGAAGTCATGAACCTTGGGGGGGGGGGAGGGGGTATGGGGGTAACCCCCCACCCCACCGCATAGTGCCCCCTAAAAGCTCCATGAGGAAGAGGACATGGTTCCAATCTTCGCCGCGACTTTGGCCCGAACCGGGAACCGGACCCAACTCCTTGCTACCGCACAGAACGGGTACAGGAGATCCCTTTCACTAGGGTGTTAAGCTGCATGTGGTTCCTATTGAGTTGGCAATCTGGCAACTGACTGGGTTGCTCATTTTCCCTGAGCAAAGGTCCAACGGGTCTAACCTTTGGTCGGTTTGATGGACAAGCTGTTTATTTCCAAGAAGCCTAAGGGGCGCTTTGCTCACGCTTGTTGAGGATCCAGGCTTTCTAGGTACTGTCCCAGCTAACGGTCGCCGTTGGCCGCTTTCCAAGAGGAATGTCGTCTTCCTCTTGGCGGCTCACCGTGGACCCCATTGACCCAAATCCAGGTTGGAATCATCAGGCACCAGGGATTCTGAAGGGTGCAGGATTTGGTCCAACGTTTGGAGACCCTAACTCCAGGAATTCTCATCTTCCACTCAACTCAATGATGAATTGAAACAAAGGAATCCATTCATCAACTGCGGTCATCTTCCGAATTTTCGCCCACGGGCTCACTGACCGATCCGGCCCCTTCCCGCCTCCGCCGCCGAAGAGGCCAGGCCCTTCATCGAAGCTGGGCAGGCCGAAGCACGGCGGCTCCTGGCGCGGACGATCTCCGGTAGTCGTTGTTTTTTTGTTTTTAGTTATGGGCTACCTTTCACTTCCCGTGTAAACTCCCCCCCCCAAACCCAAAAAAATGAAGAATCTTTACCTCTAAAACGATCCCAAGAAGTTTGAAGTGCAACTCAGGAACTGGGATCTGGAAGTGGGTTTCCCTCGTCTTCACACAAAGTGGACCCCGAATCTACCGCAGTCTCAACCAACTTCCGATGTGGATCGTCGATTTGTTGCCGCGCACGTGGGCCCATATTCAGTTTTCAGCCACCGGAGGGCAGAATGGAAGCCTCGCTCCCTGTCTTGGATGGTGTCAAGCCTGGTTTGCTTGCAACCCACTTACCAGTCTACTGAAGTGGAGCTCTAGGCCTCTCCATGCCCAGTAGATACCAGGCAAGGCCTTACAGTAGGCAACCAGCAATTTCATGAAGCTTCTAGAGGTTTCCCGAAACCATCTTGTCAACCCGTGAAAACGCGGTGCTTTTTGCTTGACCGCCGGAATCGGCTGAGAAATTCGATGGCAAGAAGCCCAGCTTCAGAGCTCGCTGTCCGGCTTGCCTTGCCCAGCTCCTGCACTCGGTTTCTGGCAGGCACGCCTGAAGAGCGCCGGTCGAGAAGTGACTGGAAGAAACATTCGGAAGGAGCTACGTCCATTATTCCCCTGCACCTAGGAGCATCCTACGGGCTTATACCTTACTTCCACACCCCTTCCACCCAGAAACAAACCACGTAACTCGCGTGGTTCCAATAGAAGTGACCGCGTTTTCTTGTGCCTTTCCAGGTTCTCGGCTTCCAAAACCACTGTCCAGTTGCAGTTCGGATGCCTTCAATCACCATGGCCAGTGGATCGATCCACTTGCATTGGAAAAGCGAACCACCCTCAGACTAGGACAATGGCTGGTCGCATCTTTGGAGGTGGTTTCCTTTAGACAAGGTGTCTGAAACCGTTGATTTACACTCTAGAAACTCGAGAAGTGATATTCCTTGGGTTACTTTTCACATTTCCGGTTGCTGAATAGAGGGCCTGAACGAATCAATGCATAAATCCATGCAGTGGTGTCCTCCAGGGACCAACCCAGTGGATAGAAGTTTCGGCCCCTGAAATTTTGGGGACCATGGTGGAATCACCTGAAAGGAACCCAAACTAACACCTTGCTGTCAACAGTTCCCAGAGCAATGGCTTATGCTAGCTGCACGAAAAACACATTAGTGTGTGTCATGTAATTTAGGGGACCCCCTCCAAATAAGTGGTTTTCTTTTTGGCTTCCCTAAAAAAAGGGGTACCAACTCCAACAAAAGACGAGCCACCCAATCAAGGACTCGGGTATCATTTCCATGCGGGTTCTTTGCTCATCCCCAGGTTTCCAGAAGCAAGAAGCAATTATTGGAACGGAAGATGGACCCCTCGAAGGCACCCCCCCTTGACCCCTCCCCGTTTCCTGACCACCCCACCCCAAAACATCAGTAACGTCAGTAAGGCAAAGGGTCTGTCGGTTGAATTTCAGACATTTGATTGCCAGGGATCGCCCTATTAGCCAAGACGAAAGAGATAGGAAACAAATGACTGATCGGCGCTTGGGGCTCTGTTATGTTTAGTCCATAGCCACCAACCCGAAACATGCGTAAAATGTAGCCCACCTCAAATATGCCCACAAGCGATTTCTGCTTCACCTACCAGCAAAGCTCTTTTTTGGCTAGAGAACGAAACACCTTTGCTAACGTCAGCAGTAAGTTGGGATGGCTTCTTTCCAACCCTCGGTATGGTAGCAGCAAAAGCACCTTTGATTTTTTGCAGCCCCCTGCAAACCCGAGCAACCTGCCACCGGCAGTGTGGACGTTACGGGCTTGTCGCACTGGGATCTTTGGCGAGCGGCGGGCTCAACCAAAACCGTTAGGCCTTGTTCGGGGCCCCGAGGATCGTTAGTCGTTGGAGCTATTGCGATGTGTTTAATTGAGAAAGCCATTTTTCCTTTCCCACTCCGGTCCTTTTTTGAGATTCTGGGGTCTTTGTCACACCGTTAGAGCTAGAGTGATGTGTTTTATTCAGAAAGGCATTCCTTTTTGTTTTGTCACTCCGGTCCTTTTGGGGTCTTCGCACCAAACACACACGCCACGACACACGTTCACGGAAGATGCACTCGCCTGCCACCGTCTCCTCCAAGGCTCCGAGGTTGCCCTCGCCTTAGACCGGGACCAATGGACCGCCGAACTGACTCCCAGAAAAAGCGGCAGCCGTAAGGCGG